TTTTGGTTTTGAACCAGTTTGACATGACTGTCGACGAGGAAGAGGGCTGGCAACAGAGGAGGGGGCGTGCCAAAGAGACACCATCTTAGCACCAACATAACTGGTTTGTTCCATTTTGGAGTTTTGATGAAGCCTTCTGGATGGAAGGTGAAACGTTTCAATAAAAAAAGAAACTGTCCAGATGACCTGACTGAAAATTGTTGGATTGTATACCTGGATTATTGAGCATGGAATTTTTTGTATAAAAGGTAATTTCAGCAACAAAATCAAATTGATATTACAATTCAGAATCAAAATAAGCTTTATTATCATTGCATCGAGATACGAGAACATGTACGTACTGTTGTCCAAAAGATGGACGTAGTGCACAAAGTTGCTGCTAATTAGCGCGGCCCTCTTATTCTTATTCAGAATAATATTTTTGCTTAGATGAGAAAAGGGAAGAAAACATAAGGAGAGAAGGTATATAAAAAGATCTCTCACACCTTGTCCTAGACAGGGCACGGTTTGAGGCATTAAAAAAACCTACCACAGCAAAGAAACATAAATAGACGTTATACACATGATACATCTAGGCCGGTGAAGACATTGAATTTTAAGGGAAGGTCATATCATAGTCCAGAGCCCCCCACCCTCTCAGCCATTGTCCAGATAAGAGGTGTTACTCATCATCAGCTCGGTTGAGGTTCTGTCACATGTCCACGGCCTTGGGGAAGGGAGGGGTGAGGAGACAGACAAAGTGTCTTTGTTTTTACATGCCAGGAGGAATTGAGATAAGTCCGCCATCAAGGCCACAGTTTGGGTCTGGCAGAACTTGTAAATTGCTGTTTCTGCCTTTTAAAGTCTCGCTGGTTCATTTCTCTGATGGTGACTCCAAACAGCCAAATTGATTTCTTACGCCGAAAGTCAAGCTCACAGCTTCCCCAAAATTATTCCCACGGTTCATGATTGCTGCCAGAAAGTTCACAGTCCTGATAACAGCTGCACCAGCTCTCTGACGCAGCTCCACATAATTAAGTCTGAGTGCTGCCAAGCTTCGACACATTCCACACAAAGTTGTAGACAATCCAGAATTGACCAACCCAAACAGCAGAATCTAGTTGTCATCATGAATCCAATTTGTTTCCGTCGAGGTAAGAGGGTCCTCCTTACCTTGATTCCTGTCGGGAGAAGTTGATTAATTTTGTTGAGAGACCAGCTGATCAAGAGGCTCTTTAAGGGTTCACAAGACGAAAGAGAGCAAACAGGGAAGCGGGGGAACGGAGCAGAAGAGGACACGTCTGACTTCACCGGAGCACAGAGAGAGAAAAAATAATAATATTACAGATTATATATTGTACCTTATTTCACTTATTCAGTTCTTATTACAGCTCTTGTTAAGTTCAGTAATGGCTGATGGATAAAAATTTCTTTAAAATCTGTCTGTTTGTCTTAATTTATCTGTATCTTTTCTCTGATGGTAACAGTTCAAACAGATCACGTCCGGGGTGAGACATGTCTTTTAATATGTTGTGGGCTTTTTCAATGCAGCAGGAACTGTGTAGATCTTCCAGTGAGAGAAGAGGGCAGTCCACGATCTTCATCGATCTAAGATATAAACTAAGATACACTAAACGAATGCCCAACGGTACGCTAAAAGATCTAAGATATATGCCAGTCACTAGTAGTGCAAAACAATACACCGAACAGCAGCAGCACGATTCTCATAGGTTTGGTTCTACTATAATTTACACGCTTAATGTAAGCACTAACATAAACTAGGATTTATTCAAAGCATACAACAAAAATACAGAAAAAAGGCACCAAAAGTGAAAAATAAATAAATCTACAGCAGCATGGTCCTATTGGTTCTGATGACAGTGAGGTTATCTTAGCAACACGGTCCAGTTAGCAGCATGATACTGTTAGCGGCATGGTGTTGTTAGCGTTAGCAGGTCTTGTTGGCAGGTTCCTTCATCAGCTTGATGATAAGGATCACAGCAGTTGCCTCCTAGACTGCCGTCCAGAACCGGGTTCAGCAGACAGAGAACATCCAAGGTTCCACCGCGGAACCAAGCGGGTCCATAGAGTTTGGTCCATGCAGGCAGACGGAGGATCTTGTTAGCAGCGTTAGCAGGTCTATTTATCAGGTCCAGTCAGCAGCTTGATGGTAACAATGACTGCAGCAACTGCCCTCCCAGACAGTCCTCCAGAACTGGGTCCGGCAGACAGAGAACATCCAAGTTTCTCTGCAGAACTGAACAGGTCCATAGAGTTTGGTCCATACAGGCAGGTGGAGGATCTTGTTATCAGCATTAGCAGGTCCTTTCAGCTGCTCGATGGTAATAATGACCACACCAGCTGCCCTTACAGACAGTCCTTCAGAACCGGGTTCAACAGATGGAGAACATCCAGGTTTCCCTGTGGAGCCTAACGGGTCCATAGAGTTTGGTCCATGCAGGCAGATGGAGGATCATAGAGATGGAGACACCCGCCATAACAGGCCTGAGCCCGAGGCTGGAAGGACTGAACCACGATGGCAGGATGGCAGGATGGCAGGATGGCATGATGGCATGATGGCAGGATGGCAGGATGGCAGGATGGCAAGGCAGAGACACAGAAAACTCCACAAGTGTGTTGTGGTCATACCCGTACTGTGGATGTGCAGTGTAGGTGCAAAAAGGTTAAAACAAAACCAACAGGAACAAAAAAAAAGATTGAGTTCACCAGGAGCCTGTGAAGCTGTGACTTGGCTGAGCGTGGCCATTTTGGCACCTTCTGGGCAGTGTTGATAACTCTCGGGGGTGCTTCCTTCTGAGCCACTGTGCAGCTAAGATACCACACACTGATGCAGTATGTTCTCTATGGAGCGTCTGCAGAAAGACACCAGCAGTCTCTGGGTGATGTTGTTCCTCCTGAGCACTCCCAGGAAGTACAGTCTCTGCTGAGCCTTTTTCAGTAACTCAGAGGTGTTCCCGCTCCAGGTCAGGTTCCCATCAATATGGACTCCCAGGAAATGGTAGTCAGCTACTCTCTCCACACTGTCTCCACATATAATCAGGGGTGGGACCGCCATTTTCTTTTTCCTGACGTTGATGATCAGCTCCTTGGTCTTTGAGTTGTTGAGGAGCAGATTGTTCCCCCTGCACCAAGCAGTCAGTTGTTCCACCTCATCCCTAGACGAGTGAGCCTTCGTGTTCTTGGTATATGTATCATGAAACGCAATACAGACAGATTGATTAATCTGCCAATATTGGCCACTATTAAAAAAAAATTGGAAATCAACTGCGCTGATTAATTACCAAGTAGGAAAATGAAGATGCAACTGCTACCAACCTATTGTAGCCCACAATTTAGTTTAAGTGAGATTGTTTTTCTATGTATCATTTTTAACTACACATTTTTGTAAGGTTATTAAATATAGTTGTTGAATTTTGTTAAATGTAAAAATACATTTTGACCAAAAATTTTAAAAAAAATCTTGTTATATATCAGCCACTGGCTGCCCCGATTTAAAAATTTGCCTCAGAAACACTCATACTGGTCAACCTCTAAACAACACAGATGTTTAAGACGTCAAGTGGCTGCAATGGGTTTGATTTAGACTCTACAAGAAGAGCAACAGGAAGTACTAATAAGAAAAAGATTCAGAAGATGATGGGTGGTGAGACCATGGAAAGTTACAGAAGATTAAGACATTCCTAGAGGCTCATAGAAGAGCTGCAACTAAATGATGGTGAACGGCACAGATGCTCTGTTGCAATGTCACTGATAAAAACGAGATGGTTACACCATAACGGCAACAATACTTATATAGTTTAATTATCTTTGAGGCAAAAGCAGTAACCAAGATTACACTGTTGAACAATGAATTGCATTAGTAAATGTCCTGATCTCGATCAGTTTCCATGGGGTCTCCGTGACCAAAACCACTGATAATCATGACCTTTTAGTTTAATTTGTTTTTAGCCTCTACCTGACAGAAACATGAATAAAAGTCTTACTTGATGGTAGAATTGAGGTGCTGGATCTCCTCTCGGAGTCTCTGAACCTCCTCGTGCAGCTGAGCTCTCTCTTGCTGCATCTTACTGATGTACTCAGCCGTCTTCTGCAGTGTGGTGGCTTTACTGATCTGCAACAGCACACAGAGGGATTTCTACTTGTTAGGCGCACGCCATGTTTATTCACGTTTCGTTGGTACTACAGTTACATCCCCAATAAAGAACGTTTACTAAATGCCTTCATGTAGCTCAGTTTCCTGACGGAGTCCTCTTTGACGCTCGCCGCCTCCACATTTATCTGTAATGCAGCTGCACATCTTTTCACTGTACCTTTATGCTTGGCTGCGAGCTGAGCGTTGTCACAAGGTTATGTAAAGTATCAAACCCCAGTTTGATGTTGAACCGCCTCTTCTGCTCGGCCGAGATGTGAGTAATCCTCCTGGTCTCTGTTTGCTGCAAACAGCACAGCTCAGAAATACGTACGCAGATCCTACCTCAAACTAACGTTTTCTAAGAATATTTTTCACTTTTTTAACTCTCAAATAAGACAAAGTTATATGTGTATCTTAAAAAAAAGTCAGGCTTATAAACAAAACTGGACAGAACATCCTACCTTATTGAATTCTAGTTTTCCATGTCCTGAGAAGCCAGACTGTGGGGACTCGGGGTTGGAGGCTTTGTCTAAAGGATTTGGTGGAGAGATTTGTCCAGGATGTGCAGGAAAATGAACTGAAGAACACGATACCAAAGAGTCATTACCTTACCAACACTTCGCAGTGCATTCCCCAGCAATAATTCTGTTTTTGGGTACAGTGAGGTATGTAGAGGACGTACCCGTCATGCTGCTCCTGTCTGTGTCGTAAAGCTGAACAGGTGAGAGTTTCTCAGTCTTGGGAATGCGGAGGGTTGTGCTGGTGTTTGTGGAGCTGTGGGTGAGCAGGGCAGACACCGCCGAGCCTCTTGAGGTGCCGGCGTGAGGTCCGCTGTGTCCGAGGGCGGCACCGTGTCCGTGCAGAGGCGTCACTGCGGGCCATCCGGCTCCATGCTGCAGCTGTGAGGAAACTCCACTAACATGAGTAATCCTGCTTGTCTGCTAAACACACAGCAACCTCTTAGATGAGCTGATTCATACAAATACGAATAAAGACATGGGTGAGGTGGAAGTTGAGCAGAGCAGCATTGTTAAAAACAGTTTTGTTTGATCGTTTGCTTTGCATGCCACAAGTGAAAGGAGAGTAGTAATGGTTCTGTCTGTCTGTTTGTGGTTATCTGTTAGCAAAACATCCACTTGGTGTGTTCTAGCTGAAAATCAGAACCGACTGGTACACCAAGAACTACACAATGCACAACAGCTTGGTTTATAACTTTGGTTTTAAGTGTTGGAGTTGACCTTTTCTATCTGTTAGCAAAATGTCTCATAACTCACTGGACAGATTTAAGTGAGGGTGTCTTTCAGTGACGTAGCACGAGACCGAGGTAAACATTTTTTTCAAGCTTTGATCAAAACTACCATAATTTCGTGATTTCTCAACATGAGATCATTTTAGTCTGAATCACTGGCCTGCACTGTGCCCATATCCAGCAGACACTGCGCGAGAGGCTGGGGACACCCTGGACAGGTCTCCAGTCCATCGCAGGGACACATAGAGACAAACAACCATTCACTCTCTCACTCACTCCTAGGGACAATTTAGAGTTAGCAATCAGCCTAACATGCATGTATTTGTTCTGTGGGAGGAAACTGGAGCACCTGGAGAAAACCCACGCATGCACGGAGAGAACATGCAAACTCCACCCAGAAAGGCCCCCAGACCAGGATTTGAACCGGGAACCTGTGCGCTGAGAGGCAGCAGCTCTACCAGTTGTGCCACCATGCTGCCCGTTCTTTTGTACCACTATGTGCTAATTCACTAATGTGTAGGTGTATGATTCTCCATCAAAATTTTGTTGCTGTTCATAACTGTTGTCATTATGGCAATGACAATAAAGTTTAAAGTAAAGTAAAGAGGTAGCAACTGTACCAACTGAACCACTGTGCTGCTCGTGATAAAAACAGCAACTCAAATTATGAGTAAAATATAAATGCTGATGAGTTTTCAGTTGCTATAATATATTATTTGAGTCGCAGGGTGATTTTCTTAGTACCGTATTTTTCGCTGTATAAGTCGTATTTTTCTGCATAATTTTCATGCCCTGCAACTTATAGGCCGAAGCAACGTATTGATTTTTCCCCCATATTTATAAACCATTTTTTGGCTGAGATATGACCGTTTTAATTCATTCTGACTGAAAAAAAATTAAGCAGTACCACTTTCAGCCACTTGATGGCAGCAGAGTAGTAGTAGCAGTAAGGCATGCCGTTGTATCATGTAATAGGTAAACGTGGCTGTAATGACAAATACAAAAATGTTCAAGACAAAAAACAACTGGAATTCATTTATTATACTATACTTTATACTTTATTATCTTTGTCTTGAACTTTTTTGAATTTACCATGTCCTGAATGACTAAGAATTTTCACCAGCTATTAATGACTAAATCTGCTTGCCATACAGTTCCACCTTTGTTCTGCTTGCTGCTTGGAGCAACCATCAAACCAGCTTCACCACCCCGGCGAAAATGCAGCTAATTTGACCATTAAAGTGCATTTATTAAATAAAAGTTCAAATGAGACACACCTTTGCTATAATGTCGAGCAAACAAATAATTGTTTTAGGTGCTTATCTTGTTAAATTTCAAAGAAACAAGCACAGCGTTCCTCCTTCCTTTTTTTCTCCTTGCTCGGTGCGCTCCCAGAGCAACGAGGCAGTGAATGCGTATGAAATACAGCTTATTTGACTGTTAAAGTGCATTTATTAAGCAAAAGTTAGACTGAGACACACCTATACTATAATTTCGAGCAAACAAATAATTGTTTTTAATTGTTAATCTTGTTAAATTCTCGTTAAAGTCCTCCCATGCACGCTCCCGCGGCTGCCATTTGGCAGCCCATCGATTTTTAGCACAACACCGGCCCACATTTCCGGGTTGTCAGCGGTGACGTGAAACAAACGTGATGCATCAGTGGTGACGCATAATAGATGCAACGTATACAGCGAAACAACATATTTATGGATTTTTCCACTTTATTAGACAAATATGGACTGATGCAACTTTTAGGGCGGAGCGGCGGGTACGACGGAAAATACAGTAATCAAGCTTTCTGCTGCAAACATAATCAACACAAAGTTATTAAAAGTCTTTAAAGTGTAAAATGTACAACAATAATTTAGTATTTTTAGTTTTATTTTAACTTTAAATGTTATTTTCAATGGTACGTTTCCAGGGCACGGGCCATTTAGTCAGTTTTAAGTGAATCTTTTCTACTTTTAGTGAGAATCACAGCACATAGATTGATGTTCAACATGAGGGATGTAGATAAATCACATGATTCTCTGATGTAAGCTACTCAGATTCTATAGGTAGATTCATGACATAGTTTGATTCTTACCAAAGAGCTGGTAGATGTTGACCTCTGACCTTTGGTAGTCACCAGGGGAGTTTTATTAAATCCAAGTTTTGGCTTTCCTGAAAAAAAAGTGTATTTTATTTTCTTATTATTATTATTACCTGTTGTATGGTATGTAGCACATTTCTGAACTCACGTTCATGGGTGTTGGTGGAAAGAAGTTTAGCTAAGCAGCTTGTGGGCATGGGGGCACTGGACTGGGGGTCAGATGTTAAGACAGAGGGGCCAACAGTTTTCACTCCTCCTGTCTTTTGCTTGTGCTTCCCCCTGACTCCTGAAAGGACCACTTGCTCTGGGACAGAGAGACAGTGGGCTGCTGTGACAGGAGGGAGCGCAGAGTGGACTGGTGGGTCAGATGTGCCAACTGGGTAACTGGGAGAATGGCATTGAGTCTGGGAGTATGCTTCCACAGCTTGAGGGTAGCTGTCATTCTGGTACACAGAACTGTGAGCGCCCATGGTGGAGGCAGTATGAGTGATGACTGTGGAAGTCATGCTGGTTGTTGTGTAGAAGCCAAACTTGTGGCAAGGCAGCGGATTGAGAAAAGAAATACTAGCAGAGGCCAGTTGGTCACTGCCACTGGTGAAAGCAACAGAAACTGGTGCATCGTGGTATGACTGATGTCCATATGGCAAGGCTCCTGATACCATGCTGGATGTGTGGTATTTGCTGCACTCCTGACCCGGTCTGGTCTGGTCTGAGCAAGTGTTGGATGTAGAAGGCAAACTGTCAGATGACAGATTAGGCTGCAGAAGAAAGAAGTCAGTTTTACTGAAGAGGAATCTTTTACACTGGATGATGACCACACTATACAGTACATCCATGACCAGAGAGATTGTGGATGGCCTTTGCAGGGTCAGTGAGGTATTCAGGAGTGCAACAAAAACGCAGTGGGCTCCCCATTTCGTACAGTACAACACAATAGGCTGTTGGTTATAGTGAGCATGTAGAAAACTTCTGTAGTGAGTTCATGGTAGTTTGTTATTGTGGTGGAAGTGTATCTATTATGTGAGGTCTAGGTGTCATGTCTTGGCTTGGTTGTTATGAGTTTAAAGCATGTCAGGTCACGCTGGCTTCATGCCTATAGCCTTTCCTAAGGCGCTTTGGAATCTACCCAGAGTCCTGGAAAATAACAGTCCAAGAACGCTCTGCCTGGCAAAACTGCCTGACCTGAGGCAGAGCCTTCAGGAGCCAACACTGGACTGATGAGCTGTAGCTAGACACGTGAATGGTCATTGTCAATGACAGGTGACTGGGTCAACACCCCATCATGCCCACACTGCACTGGTAGGGTGCACTGGTAATTTCCTGTATCACTCTGCTACATGCATAGACTCAAAAAGATCCCATAAGTATATATATTTTTTTAATTTACAGATTAAGACGATGTCAAGGAAGCAACCTAGCACAGATTTTATTTATACCTGTGGCGTTGAAGTTCTGCTCATGTGGCGTGATTCTCTAGCATGTGGTTGCACGCAGACATGGTCATACCAGGGCGGAGCCTGAGGTGTTGTGCAACTGAGGATGCATGTGGTTTTGTCTTTCTTTGAATGTGCCTTTTTAATGCGTTTTCTAAATTTCCCATCACTCAGCCATGTTCTAAGAAGTTGTGTAGGTCACGGGAGGTGGAAAGAGCTCATCATCCTGTGTGAAGGAGCCTTAATCTTACCTTTTGGCCGTTTAGTGTTTGTTTAGCGTTTCTCTTAGTGTATATCTTAGATCCTTATATACTGTTTCTTTGTACACTTTATATTTTTGCTATTTTTGGGTGTAACTTGGAACCCTGTGCACATAATTCTGTTCCACTCCATGTACCACATGTGATGTGAATGACAATAAACCTACTTGAACAATAGTGTGTAAACAATGTAATTTATTCTGCAGATATGAAACATCAAGAAGACAGAGGAGCAGTTCTCCTCAGCTCTACCTGAGCCAGCTGGGTGTCAATAAGCAGCTGGGTGGTGGTTACCACAGGGGAGGGAACAGGAGCAAACGTTGCACTGGATGAGCTCTCAAAATAACTACAGTCAGTAAAACCAGTCTGTTCAGTGGGCTGGGCTCGGTAGTTGATAAAAATATCTGTAAAAAAAAGCAAAAATTGTTTATCAATGTGTCAGAATGAAAAGCAACTTGTTATATCAGGACCTAAAGGCAGTACTCTACTGACACTTCCTTACTACTGATACAAGTGTGTGTATTAAGAAGGTACAATTTTTAAGATAGGCCAATCAAAATGGGGTTTAACAAAAACTAAAGTTGCTACAAGTTTTTATGACAAATATCTTAAACAACTTATTTTAATCATAAAACGTAAAAAAAATAGTTTAAAGTTTCTAGGCCTGAAAAATGAAGCTGAATCTTTTTTTTTTCAGGCGGTGACACTGCTGGTCCGTGTTAATATCTGGATGGAAAATAACTCGTGTATCTCACTGTTTTCATTGATATACCCTGATATGACTTCATGACTACTTATATACAACATCATGACTCTTTTAAATTATACTTTAGTTTGAATAAAAGGAGCACAAAACCAACAAATCCATAATTTTTACTCATGTATAGCAAATAAAAAAAATGCTGTTGGATCCCAAAATATCAAATTTGTCCAAGAACAACGGATGGAAGTGAAAACTGAAAGTTAAAGGATGTAAGTCTCTTTGTAAGCTTTTATAAAATGTTTTACAACAATCGCTTTTACTGAAATTAAATTAAAAACCAAAATGTTCAAGGAGATGTACATTCATTTGATCCCATGTACGTACATCTTTTTTTTTTAAGATGTAACTTCATAACTTCATAACAACAACAAAAAATAACAATTCAACCAAAAATAACTCTGCCTGCACAAGACACAGATGTTTCAATTAGTTTTGTTTTTTTTGTAAATCTTGTAGAAATACATGGCTGTCATTTTCCAAACTTTTCAATTTCTCAGTAGATTTTTCTAAATAAAATATGACAAAACTGCTTAAAAAATATGAGAATTGGGTGCAAAGGTTCACAGTGGCTGCCGTCTCCCTGAATGAGGTATCTTGATATCCAGCAGTCTTCCTACATGTTAGTTGGACCTGATGCCCACCAACCTCCTTTTGGCCATTTTTTTCATTTGACCATGTCACATTTCGCACATGTAATGCGCTTTGCTGCCTCGGGCATGATTTTTGCTGCATTTCTAATGCCTCTGGTCACACATCTGCTCAGACAGCCTCCAAAACCCAGTTAGACTGTAAACATCAGTTTTGTTTCTTCTGCTCGAGTGCAAGATAACTGAAAGGATGTGGAAGTTCTGCTTTGCCAGCTCCTTGCAGCCAGACACTAATAAACAGCACATGAGGATCATCGGCTTGATGAGCAAGAGGAGCATAAAAGGCTGCAGAGGACATCCAGCCAGCGCTGGAGCATTACCTGCCAATGGTAGTTCTGTTCTAGTCTTTTACTTGTGAGTTAAACTGAATATTAACACACCTTGTATTTCTCCATACTTCATATATATAGTCCCTGATGTCCTCCTGCTCCCTGGATTCTCTGTGGACCTTGAGCTCTCCTGTGCCTCCTCAGCTGCCTCCACGCCTTTCTACCACTTGCCTTCTCCTGCCATTGTTCGGACGCGCACCCTCTTTGCCTGGAACCAGAGGGTCAGCTCTCCCTATGACTCCTACCTCTACCGTAAGAAAGAGCAGCAACAATATTATCACCCCTGCCGACAGACCAGTAGCCATCGACTTGCTCTTCAGGTTTCCAGCTCCCTCCCTGACATATTGAATGATTAATCACCTTGGTGTCCGTTCTCCTCGGTCCGTGTATCTGGATATAGCCGCAATCATTACAAAGGATAGTAGTAAATACAGTAGTTTATTTTAGTATTTATATAGATGTAAGGCATTATTAAGGCGTTTTAAACTCTTCCCACACTCTTGCTAAACTCTAAACGCTCTAAAAGAGCACAGAATGTCATGATTTCAGCTCTCTGCCACCTGCAAGCGCTCTCGGCCATAGCTGCTCTCTTGGCCACGCCCACGTCTCGGCTGATGAGCGGAGATATGACACGCTGCAGAAGGAAGCTTTATCTGCAGCTGTGGGCTGCACACTGATGCTAAATAATTTAAAATAATTCATTTTAAATAAACAATCCATGTCAATTGTGCGGCTCATCCATCAATACGGCAATTGTGTCATGTCCAATCTTATTTTGAAAAACCGAGACAGAGCGAGTTTGCGAAAAACGAACAACAAAGTAGCGAGGGACTACTGTAATCTACTGTAGATTTGAATGCATGCCACCATCTTAACCAGGACTCCCCGATGATTTAAGTCAATGGGACTTTCCTAGTACAAAATGTAAAATAAAAAATACATAAAGAATTGACCTACAAGCAAACCATTTTATAGTAAATTTCTTTTATCAGTGGGAAATATAAAAAAATAATTGGTTCATCCTTTAGTAATTTTTGCCACCTGAAGTAAAATCGCCCCAAAAATTCCCAAACTCCTGTTAATTTTATTTTATTTTGAACTACATTAAAAATATTTAACTAGCTGGGAAAAGTACTTGCGCCTGTGTCTATGTATGTACTGCCCTTCACACATAAACCGACACACGGTGAGTACCTGGTATTTCCATGAAATCATCCAGGTTGGGCTGCAGTGGAGTCAGGCCCGGCTGAATGATGTCAGCATTGCTGGTGTACGCTGAGGATTCAAAACACAGAAAAGATGGCTGCCACAGCTAATAAACTTTAGTCTAATCTAAAAATGGCTTCACCTCAGTTAAATTTACTGTTACCGAGTTAAAGTTTGATGTGGTATTAACTGGGAGTCATCCTCAACACATGCTCCGAGCACTAACAGATCTTGTTAGCACATCATTTACAAGGTTTGACTAAAACAGCTGGATTTTTCAACAGATGACCCAACTCTAAAACTCAAGCAGCAGGTGATATGCATTGCTTAAAGTCATAATAGGACTTAAAAAAACATTTTTGTCAGTATTTAGTTTTTCAGTTGTGTTTTCAATTCATTGTTTCCCTACTTTATGTCTTGAAGAAACAAAGCTGAGTACGTCGAAGGGAGTGCTGAATCTCTGGATCTTTACACTTGCATTTACAGTATACATAAAAATCTGGTGCCCGTTTTCTGACAAAAAAAAATCTTATTTCCCCAAGGAAACAAAATATCTACCGGTAATTTAATCTCACTGATTTACACACAGCCGAACTCCTCCTATTTTACCTTGTCATTTCTCAGGGATGATAGCATAATCATATGAGTTTGGGTTTCCATGGAGACAACATTTACAGTAGGTTCTCCCTTAACACAGTTTTAATTGTAGCCATTGTAAGATCCATTCATCCATTATCTTTACCCGCTTCTTCCTTTTCAGGTCACGTGGGTCACTAGTGTCCATATCCAGCAGTCATTGTGAGAGAGAGACGGGGGACACCCTGGACAGGTCTCCAGTCCATCACAGGGATACATAGAGACAAACGAGACAAACAACCATTCACTCTCTCACTCACACCTAGAGACAATTTAAAGTTACCAATCAGTCTAACAAACATGTTTTTGGTCTGTGGGAGGAAACCGGAGTACCAGGAAAAAACCCACGCAGCACGGAGAGAACATGCAAACTCCAGCCAAAAAGAATAAGCTTTATTGTCATTGCACAGTTGAGTACGGCGAAATGTTCCATACAGCTGTCCTAAAGATGGACAAAGGTGTACAAGGGCTGCAGCTTCTAGGAAGAACTATCCTTGTTGCTTAGATAGAAAAAGGGAAGACACATCAGGAGAGAGTGGTATAAAAAGAAAAGATCTCTCGCGCCGTGTCCTTAACAGGGCAGTTTAAGGTATCAAAAAAATCTACCACAGCAAACAACGTAGGTAGACACAGCTTCTTCATTTACGTATCCACCAGATTTGGAAAATGTGTGAAGAGAGGCTCTGATACACAGGACAAAGAGCAAAAGTAGGAGGAAGGCAGGAAAGGGAAGAAACGCGTCCATCTTGTTCGAGGGAAAGTGAGGAAAAAAAGGTCCCTGGCCGGGATTTGAACCGAGGCAACCTGCTCACTGTGAGGCAGCAGCTCTACCCACTGCTCCACTGTGCTGCCTGCATTATAAGATGTTTAATGTATTTAGTATTCTACTGATTTGTCTCCACTGACCAAATTCTGTTCAAGTGAGAAATTTCAAAATAAGTTTTCAGACATTAATTATTGCATGCTTATCATTGTCCTATTAAAGTCATGATTACATGTATTTGTAGCTGTTGTTCTTATTTTTATTTATTGAAAAGATGACACTTAACAGTTTTTTTTTATTATTCAGTTGAAAATGAAATTAAGCTTGCAGATTATGAACATCTTTATTCTACTGGGGGACATCAATGCCCACGTGGGTAATCACAGTGTGAGCTGGAGGGGAGTGACTGGGAGGAACGGCCTTGCTGATCTGAACCTGAGCGGTGTTCTGTTGGGAGTTCTGTGCTAAGTCATAGTTTGTCCATCACGAATGCCATGTTCGAACATAAGGATCTCCATAAGTGCACTTGGCACCAGGACGCCCAAGGTCGTAGATTGATGATTGACTTGGTAGTTGTGTCATCTGATTTGCGGCCATTTGTTTTGGACACTCGGGTGAAGAAGAGCTGAGCTGTCAATTGATCACCACCTGGAAGTGAGTTGGATCAGATGGCAGGGGAAGATGCCAGACAGAAACGGTAGACTCAAACATGTAGTTTGCTGTGAACCCCTGGCAGAAGAACCCATAAGCGAGATCTTCAACTCACACCTCCGGGAGAGCTTTAACCATATCCCAGCTGAGGTGGGGGACAATGACTCAGAGTGGGCCATGTTCCGCACCTCACTTGTTGAGGTAGCTGCCTTGAGCTGTAGCCGCAAGGTTGTCTGTGCTTCTCACAGTGGCCATCCACAAACTCGGTGGTGGACACCCCAGGTTAGGGAGGCTGTCAAGCTGAAGAAGGAGTCCTATCGGGTCTTGTTGGCCAGTGGGACTCTGGAGGCAGTTGAGGAGTACTGGAGGGTCAAGCAGTCCACAGCCTTGGCTGCTGCTGAGGCAAAAGCTCGGATGTGGGAAGAGTTAGGCGAGACCTTGAATAGAGATTCTCGGTCGGCTCCGAGGATATTCGGGCAAACCATCAGACAGCTGATGAGGAGAAAGCAGCACTTTACTAACACTGTGTTCAGTGAAGGTGGGGTGCTGTTAACCTCAACCAGTGTTGTCGTCGGGAGGTGGAAGGAATACTTCTCGGACCTTCTCAATCCCACCAGCACATCTTCCATGGAGGAAGCTGAGTTGGGAGACTTTGAGGTTGATCCGTCCATAACCGTGGCTGAGGTTGCCGAGGTAGTTAAAAAGCTCCACAGGGCAGGGCTCTGGGAGTGGATGAGATTCACCCTGGTTTCCTTAAGGTTCTGGATGTTGTGGGACTGTCTTGGTTGACATGCCTTTGTATTGTCGTGTGGACATCAGGGGCAATGCCACTGGAATGGCAGACTGGGGCGGTGGTTCCCCTCTTCAAAAAGGGGGATCGGAGGATGTGCTCCAATTATGGGGCATCACTGTCCTCAGCCTCCCTGGTGAGGTCTATTCAGGGGTACTGGAAAAGCGAGTCTGATCGTGGGTCAACCCTCAGATTCTGGAGGAACAATGTGGGTTCTGTCCTGGCTGCGGAATACTGGATCAGCTCTTTACCCTCATTAGGATCCTCGAAGGGCCATGGGAGTTTGCGCATCCAGTCTACATGTGTTTTATGGACTTGGAGAAGGCATTTGACCGTGTTCCTCAAAGGTACACTGTGGTGGGTACTCCGGGAGTATGGGAATGGGGGTCCGTTGTTACAGGTTGTTCAGTCACTATACAAGTGGTGCATGAGTTTGGTTCTCATTGTCGGTAGTAAGTCGGGTCGGATCCCTTCAGAGTCGGAGTTGGACTCTGCCAGGGCTGCCCATTGTCATGATTCTGTTCATAACTTTTATGGACAAAATTTCTCGGAGCAGCCAGAGGGTGGAGGGATTCCGGTTAGGTGGTCTCAGGATTCCATCTCTGCTCTTTGCAGATGATGTGGTCCTATTGGTGTCATCGTGCCATAATCTTCAGATCTCACTGGAGTGGTTCAAAGCTAAGTGTGAAGCGGCTGGGATGAGAACCAGCACTTCCAAATCTGAGACCATGGTCCTCAACTGGAAAGGGGTGTATTGTTCTCTTCAGGTCAAGGGTGAGGTTCTGCCTCAAGTGGAGGAGTTCAAGTATCTCGGGTTTTGTTCACGAATGAGGGAAGAATGGGGTGTGAGATTGACAGACAGAGTGGTGCAGCATCTGAAGTATTGCAGACTCTGTACCGGTCCGTTGTGGTGAAGAGAGAGCTGAGCTGTAAGTCAAAGCTCTCTGTTTACCGGTCAGTCTATGTTCCTACCCTCACCTATGGTCATGAGCTCTGGGTAGTGACCGAAAGAATGAGATTGCGGATACATGCAGTTGAAATGAGTTTCCTTCGCAGGGTAGCTGGTCCCTCCCTTAGAGATAGGGTGAGAAGTTCAGTCATCCAGGAGAGATTCCGAGTAGAACCACTGTTCCTCCACATCGAGAGGAGCCAGTTGAGGTGGTTCGGGCATCTGGTAAGGATGCTCCCTGGGTGCCTCCCTAGAGAGGTGCTTCAAGTATGTCTGACTGGAAGGAGACCCCGGAGAAGACCCAGGACATGCTGGAGAGACTATGTCTCTCGATTGGCCTGGGAACGCCTTGGAATCCTCCCAGAAGAGCTGGAAGAGGTGGCTGTGGAAAGAGATGTCTAGACCTCCCTGTTCAAGCTGCTGCCCCCAAGACCCAACTTAGCAATAAACGGAAGATAATGGATGGATGGATGAATGGATGAGCATCTGTTAAGATTGATTTCAAAGCACCAGTCATCTTTGATTCTGTGGTTCAAGTAACAGTCAGTCATTCTAGTGACTTTAGGGTGTGAACTACTCACCATTGTGCCGGTCACTGTTCCATGGACACGGTGTCTGTGTCATGGTGAAAAGAGTGTCGGAGATGTCGGACAGAAGGCAGTCCAGGTCAAACATGTGCACCTCCACTGGAGCGAACTCAGGCTCCAGGAGGCTTTGATTGGACTTTTTGTCCAGCTTGGCCTGGCAGATGTGTCCCTGCAGCACATCAGGCAGGAAATGAAAACACTTAACGGTGTCCATAGAGAGACAGACTGAGTCAGTGCGTGGTTTAGCCATCAGAGGAATCTTTGTAAATGGAGGTTTGACACCACAGGGAGGCTTTGACGGCATTTGATCCTGCTCGTCTTTACAAGAGGTGTGTGTGCAAAACATATTTAATATACAAAACTGTGTAGCATTTGTAATGTTAAAAATAGAACATACACATTTAAAAAATGTTCAACAATATCTTGGAAGTAATCATTTGCATAGCATTCAGTCAGCCAGAGACACTTCATAATAATTAGCCAATATTTTGTGGAGAGTAAAGACTCACAGAAACTGCAGTTCATCACACGCTCCTTTCCTTCTACACAAAGCGCTTTGTTTCACCCTGAGACTCTCTGCCGTCTTCATCCTCCACTCTGGACCTGGAGCCACTTTTATAAGGAAGCTCAGATTGAGCCGGAAACTATTTTGATTACGTCTGAGTGGACGACATCTCCTCAGAGCACTGTCGTGTTTGCGTGTGTGTGTGTGGGTGTCCCATTATGAAAAAGCAGTTTTCACACATTAAAAAACAACAACAAACAAACAAAAGCTCCTCACAGGTTATCATTATGTGGTTTCATTTTGACGTCTCACCATTTCAAAAACAGTGGCAGCCTTTTGTCCCTGACCTAATTCTGGGAGTCACTCACATGTGAATGCAAAAAGGAAGACCTGAGGCTTCAGCCAGCCCAAACAGCCCCAACAAGACTCAAAAATATTTTGCTTCCGACAAAGAGAACTTACGTTTTTAAAGGGTTTCCTGCAACTGGGTGGTATATCTCAATACATGCATCTCGATGTGAAATACTGAGAGGATACAGGAACATGTTTAAAGAGAGGAAAACCAAAAGACGAAATAAATGAATCCAAGATTTTAGGTTCAACTGTCTGAACAAAAACAGGTAGAAATCAAACATGAAGTTTTTAGAATTAATCTTTAGGAATCCATGGATATATGTGGAAAAATGTTATTTGAGTCACAAAAAGGCCAGGTTTTTATCCTTTGCGCTTCTAAAAGCAAATAATAAAATATAGAAATCCTACAGTAGAAGAAAAGGATAAGATAGTTTTATGAGAGACCAGATGGGGACCACTGATCATCTTGAGGTGGTGGACCAAACTAAAAGCTATAACAAAATATTTTGAAATTCTATTACATCATTATTACATAGACTGTTAGAAAAATACTGCAATATGGAAGTTAGGCAACTTTTTATATAGGCCGACTTGGTTTAGATTTTTTATTTTACAGTTTATAACCTCCTGAGACCTTGTAACCTGATGTGATGTCTGAGAATTGACTTTCTGCATAATTTTATTGATTTTTCATCATCAAGTCAACTTTTTCATTTAAGTTTATATATATATATATATATATATATAATGCAGAGTTATATTTTTAATTGAAAAACTTTGTTTGCTTCATATATTTTTAGGTTAAATTTGCTCAAATGGCTAGAGGAAATAAAAAAGTGACACCGCAAACTTAAGCTCAGAAATTATAAGAACGAGGCAGTTTGGCCATTTCATTTTGTATTTTGCTTTGTGTGTTACCTGTTGTTTTGTCTGTACAGCACTTTGGTTGGCCTTGTAGCTGTTTTAAGTGCTTTATAAATAAAGTGGTATGGCATGGTATGGTACGGTATGGTATGGTAAGGATGAAAACCTGCAGAGACGGCCAATGATGCTCCTGTAAAATACCTCAATCTCTCTTCAAATTTACAATTAGTCAAAAAGAAATTTATAAATCTCTGCCTGAATCTGTTACAAAGTTATGAGGTACAACTCATATTTGCTTTGAAAGGTGCTTTATTTTTAGGTCCATAACTGTGTGAGGGCTAGCAGGTGGGACTTTAAGCTCCACGCTGCTAGTGCACAGACTCTGGTTCCCAAGTCCAACATGGCAGTTCCCTTAAACTGAATCCTGCTGGCCTCAACCCCCAACAGCAACAGAAGAACAGGACACCTGGTCTTTAATGTACAAAGTAAACAGACTATGGTCTGGCTTGAACCAGCAGATGGGTCTTAGTAAAACTTTCAATAAAAGTTTCAGAAAGTGGCTCAACCACAGATTAACTATTGGACGCAGTCCAATTTAAGATGGCCACCACAGCTAGTAAACTGTAGCGAACACAAAAATGGTTCTAACGCAGCCATTTTAACAGACGTTAAGCTTTGGTGTGGTTGTAGCTGAGAGTCTTTCCCTGCACAATGTGCATTTGTTCAAAAAACACTACTTTAATATTTCCAACTGCTTCGTTCAACTTTTTGAACGCGCTGACATCATTTTGTTTTTGTTTAAGAAAATGAATACTTCTGTTTATTAAAGTTCAGACCAGTAAACCAAATATCAGGAGTATCTCATATATATATATATATATAATACGCCCATCAACAAACTATTATTTAACAATCTATAGCAATGGCTAGACAAGTCCAGGTATAGACATTGTATAACATTTAACCTTGATTGTGACCTTGTTTGTAGCTGGGGTGATGAAAAGAGATGGGACAGTCTGTCTAGTGATGTCATCATGACATATAACAATAAAGTTTCATTAAATTGTCTTGAGTGGTTCAAAAGTTATGAGCTGGACAAGAGAAAATGTGTGTAGATACGTACAGATGGAGATTAAACCATAATGCACCCTGCCTTCAACGAGCGTATAAAAATTACAGTTAAGTTCTCGTTACATTTTAGATCCCATTTATACGCAGGACTTTTCTACAAATTCAGTCTTTCATTATTTGTATGGACTCAAACGACAAAACTTTCGCATATTAACAATGTGGCATCTATTTTACGCACATCCTAGAAACAAAAAGCACAATGGAGCAGTTTTTAGTTTGTCTGCATCTGCTTCACTTTTCGATTCTGTCACTAATAAACTTCTATGAAGTGTTAAAAAGATTTTTTTAAGAGAATCTTTTTGGCAGAGCTTTAACGACAAGCTTCGCCCCCTCAGGCCAACCACAAGGACCCCACATTCCCAGATAGACAGAATTATTTTATGCACGTTTGAGGTGAGCTCCAACAAGGCACAGATTCTCCATCAACCGGAGAGCAAGTACTCCAGGTAACAGCAACCATGTTAGAAAGTGTTCGACAGAGTTAATTCACACAAGGCAGCTGGGCCCTAACATCTATGACCATGTGGCGTGGGAATTCTCAGAGCAACGTCGAAGACGGTTTTAACATTGGGCTCGATCAAAGCATTGTGCCCACCTGCTTTAAAAGCACTACTATTACTCCAGTCAAAACCAGTCTGCTTAAATTACTAGAGGCCGTCGCTCTTATCCATGAAATGTTTCGAGTGGCTTGTTTTACACATCAAGAACCACCACCTGAATATTTTGGTCCTCTCCAGTTCACATGAGCTCCACTAAAGATGCCATCTGTCACATCTGGAGGGCAGGTGCATGTACAGTTGGTTATTTTGCTTCCTGCCATAGAGGCAGCAGTAAGCCAGGGTGGACAACTGCACCTTAAATACCATTACAGTGAGTTCATTGTTGTTAGAATTAATCTTAAATACATTCTAATAAATTCCAGGATTCTGTCTATTTTAATTTTAGGAACATATGCCAGATGCACTAACAGCACAGACGATGTTACAGTGCAGATAATGCACTAATACTGTTCAGAGGTTGTTTCTCTGAACCAATCAGAACAATCTTACAAGGTATCACAAGACAAGAGCATCCAAGTGGAAGGCTCTCAGTACTTTTTCCCAAAGTAACTAAATACAGTACTTTTCCAGTGGTTGCTCTTTGGCATTCTGCCTTAAAAGCTATCATGCAAAATTATTATTTGAGCTTCTGGTATTACAAGAATTGATCCACCTCTTGCTCCAGGGTCTTTGTGGAATGTTCTAGTCCTCTGATATACTGTAGAACGAAATCAGTCATTAACTTTGCTAAGGCATCATAAATGCCTTACATTTTTGTCACATCCATTTCATAGTTTGTATCAATCTGCAATCAAGCACTGAAAGCAACATAAGCAATTATTTTGTGCCTCAAGGCTGTGTCCTGAGCCCCCTTCTGTTCAGTCTACTCCTATATGATTACTCTGCTCACTTCAGCACCAATCAATCAAATCTGCAGATGACTTGAAAGTAGTGGTGTTAACCAGGAACTATGATGAGACTGCATAAGTGAGCAAGGGGGAGAATGTATAATTGTGGTGCAGATCACACAGTCTACACCTAAATGTGAAGATAGTGGTTGGTTCTAGAAGGGTTGAATATCAACATCATTCACCACTGAACATCACTGGTGCTCAGCTGGTAGTGAGTCAACCACATCAAACTCTTGGTGTCCACTTGGCAAATGATCTGACCTCTGCAGCAGTGAACACCACAGCTATTGATAAAAAAAAGCCCATCAGTGGCTTCGCCTCCTCTAACACAGGATAAAGGTAGGACACACCTCATCTCATCACTTTTTACAGAGAAACTTTGGAGTCTGTGCTAACATACAGCCTGACTGCCTCATTCAGTTGTTGCAAAGCTCTGGAGAAACAACAGCTAAGCAGGATTGTAAAAACAGCAAGCAGAGCCACTGGTGTTCCTCTAGTCTCACTGTTGGAGATCTTAAGCAACGATGTGCTCACGGGTCCAACAACATATTAAAGGGTCCTCACCACCCTGCCTATGACCTATTTCACTTGCTGCATCAGGGAAAAAATATTCAAGGCTTTGTTCCAGATCCAGCAGGACGCTGAATAGTTTCTAACAAAAAATTAGGGTTGGGACTGTCCATGTTGCCAGTAAGCACTCTGGTGGCTGATAAAAGGCCTATTCTGGAGAGGCAAACTATGCTGCAGAGGCTGCAGGTCAGTGACTGGTCAAGGGTTGAAGCAGAGGTTTTTGGTCTTTCTTCTGCCTCTCTTTCCCTCTAGGCTGGTGGTGCATGCAGATTCAAAAGCTGCCACTGCCTTATGGGTGGTGTTGTGCCAGCTTGTTCTGTCAGTGGCTAAGGAGGACCATGTGTGGGTGTCAATGTAGCATGTGGTCAGGGAGTTCTTGACGAGGTTCTTATACCTCTTCTTTGGGGCATCTTGGTTGTGGTGCCCAGAGAACAGTTAGCTGTACAGTACGACCTTAGGCCGGCAGTGGTCTTCCAATCTGGACACATGCTCTGCCCATTTAAGTCATGCCTGGAGGAGCATGGTCTCGATACTAGTGATCTCTGCCTGTTGGAGGACTAAGATGTTGGTTATCTAGTCACTCCAGTGGATGTTAAGGATGGAGTGAAGACAGCGCTGGTGGAAGTGTTCCAGGAGTTGGAGGTGCCTTCGGTATGTCACCCCTGTCTCTGAGCCGTACAGGAGGGTGGTTAGTACCACTGCTCTGCATACTTGGACCTTTATCCCCGTCCTCAGGTCTTTCTTGGACCAGATGTTTTAGAGTCTGCCAAAGGCACTATTTGCTTTAGTCAGCCTGTTGTTGATTTCCGTGTCAGTTTTGACAACAGATAAAACTGTGCACACAAGGTATGTGAACTCATTCACAGCCTTCAGCTCAGCTTTCTTGATGCTGATGTGTGGTGGGTGGTCTGGTTCATTTGGTGCTGGCTGATGGATTCTTTAGACTGACCAGTCCAGTTTTTAATGTGCATTGTTCTTATAAGAAGTTACAAATACATTTGTTGTATCTTATCCTAACATTCTTTCTCTGTATTTTGATATTGTGTTATTGTGAACTTACTTGCCATCTAGTGGCACAGAATGGGTGTTTTGTCATTTTTGTGGACACGTGTGGATAAACAAATTTTTAAAAAGTCTAATAAAATCTGTTTAAAAATATCTACTGTAGCATAGATGAAGTCTTGTAAAACAGTCAAAATTTTCTAGAAAAGGTGTTTGTATATTGACAACTAGATGTCAGCTTGAGTCCGTTTCGGCCCTGTTATGTGGATTTTGAGTCAAACCATAGCTTTTGTGCTGCAATCATTTGTGTACACAAAAAAAAAGCACTTGTTTCCTCTGAAACATTTATAGTTATTGGCCACAATAAACATTCAAAAACACTAACATTTCCAGAGATCATTCTAGCGCAACATGGCCTAAAAACATGTGTAACAGAGATTACCAGATAATAAAGTGGAGAACAAAACTCTGATCTGTTTTTATCCTGTTTGTAATATTAATATTAATATTGTACTTTCAATTATAAACTTCCAACATGGATTAAACTCATATTGTTTCCCACTGCTGACTTTAGTGAATATAAAGTCCATAATTATTGATGTGCTTCTTTAGGACGTCCCTTGCGGCTGCAACCTCTCTTCTTCTAAATATTTTGTTTCTGCATCCTATGATGGATGTAACTCACTGCCCCTTCAGCTGCTCAGGTCTTGCAAAGCACAGCAGGAAGTAGGTCGCATTTGAGGAAATGACATGAAATTTTGAAGCTACTTCACTTGAATAAGGATTAAAAAAATAAAACCCAAGAAGGTGTTTGTGGGATTGTCACAGCTGGCAATCAGTTTGTGTCAGTTGCCTACAAATGTCAGGTTAAATGCACCTCAACTTGTTTCACCCATGTATGCTCCCCTCTCTCTTCCCATCTAGTTAAGCAAAAGAGGCTCATTCTACATGTTCTTATGTAAACTAACTTCATTCAGATGGAAATAATGTTAGCAGGTCCCCAGCCCACATGAAGTGGGACTCCATAAGGTCAAAGTCAATATTTATCAACCTTTGTGTGTTTCCAAACCTACAAAGAGCCATGTAGGTGTAGGTGTAGCCACGAGATAAGAGAAGGATGTGTCAGTTTACGTACCTCTTGTAGCATGGACAGAATATCATCCTTCTTTTTCTGAAGCTGCAAAACAACAAACAGCAAAATGTGCAAACTGATTCAGAAGCAACAAGCTTGCCACAAAAATACGAAACCCTAAATGGAGGATTTATAAAACCTGGTCTCAAAGGCCAGATCAAGTCGTAACGCCCCACAGGCCTTGGGTTCTGCACGTGTTCTAGACCGTGCACATTGGCCTCGGGCTGTTTCTTAACCACCTTGACAGCCATCCCAATGTTCTGAATTTAATCTACTAGAGCAGGTGTCTGCAACCTGTGGCTCTGGAGCAACATACAGGTATGGCTCTTTGGTCCTTCTGCAGTAACTCTTACAAACTTTGACCAAAAACTAACATAGAACTGATTTGTATTGGTTGTTACGAAATAAAAAAGTGCTGTGTTTTATTTTTCTATGCAATGATGAAATTAGTCCTCCGCATTTAACCCAGCACACCTGAGATGCGCACAGGTGGAGCAGTGGGCAGCTATGTAAGCAATTGGGGATTGGGTGTTTTGCTCAAGGACACCACGACATGTGGACATGGCAGGGAGTTGAACCTGCAACTTTCTGGTCCCAATTCGGCTGCCCTACCTCCACACCGTGTCAGCCCCTTTGTTGTTTTTGCCAAACAACAAGAACAAATGCTAGTTTTGGAAGTTTTTCTATGATTTCTATTGCAAATATGTGAATACTAGTACTAATAAATAAAGGATGAATGAAAATACAAGGAGCAAAACATACTGTGCTCACATTTGTATCCTGATGCACGTTAAATAATGCAGGTAGAAAAATATAACATTTTCTGACTTAACTTTCTTAGGTACTGACTTTAACTTTATGCTTTATTTCTTCAGAGTAGAATATCGGTAATTAATTTTTCCACAAAAAAAAACAAAAAAAAAAACACATAGGCTCGCATTTTTAATTGTTTAAATAAATAAAAATGTAGAAGGTAAAAAAAAAAAAAATCCTTCTTTACAAGAATCTGGTGTAAAAAAAATATATATATAAAAAAAAATTAAACATATTTTGTGTTTTATTACATCACCAGAAGCCAGAAAAGCTCCCGCCAGCAAACCATAAGTGGTCCACGGGCTACTGGGCTGATCCCAGTTGTAGCAGGTTTTGCAGCTCTGGACAAATTTGTAATTAATGATTATACAAATAGTGAACGAAGGGATAAAAATGCCTCTTTTGATCGTAAAGGTTGCAGACCCCTGTACTGGAGTACTCTGTAGAAATGAAGATGCACAAACTTTCTGAACATGTTCAAGGTTCAAGCAACAAAACTGCTAAATTGTGCCCCTCATGTGAGCAGAATGCTTCAAGACATTTTAAAGGCTCCCTGGTGAGTGCTGTTCAAAAACTAGTCTGCAACAGGTCCATCCCACACTGACTTCAGGTAGTTAATAAACGCCTTCCTATTCCTGAGGGTTTGTCACATTAAATAAATAGGAATAAAACCTGACATGACCACCCAGATTGCATATGTCATACTTTAAGGTCAAGTCTCACCCTCTTCTTGTAGTAAATCCTCCACTTGTGATATTCCTTGATGACCACCTCAATCCTCCTCTTCCAGTAGCTGCCTTCCAATATGATGGCCTGTCCACACAAACCAGTGACAACGTTCAGGACACCCCGCAAAGAGGACATCCTTCGCAAAACCTTCTCAAATTTCTCACTTCAGGCTTTCGATGAGCTTCTGCCTCTGAGCCTTCCAGCGGAGAGCTAAACCCACACACCAGGTTCTTCCTTTTCTCCACATCTGATCAAAATCAGAACAAACAACATAACACATTCAGGCGCATTCCAAATAAGATAAAGATAAAACAGGAAACTTTAGAGGTGACAGTGACCAAAAAAAAATAAAACGTGGTCAGGGTCATTCAAACAGGTGAATATTTTGGCAACTTTGAATTGTAGTTCTGTGGAAAGAAAACGAGTAATCAACATCTTACCTGTTGTAAATGACTTTTTAAATGAATTCAGCTTAGTGTAATTAAGTTTAATTATGAACACATAGTTGAGCTAATATCGCGGTAAAGACCAAAGTGAAGCTGCTGTCTTAAAACAACACTCAACATGTCAGAGCCGCTCCTGAAGGCAGCCTTTAGGAGCATTACACAGTCTGACTTTAGGGTAAATTTACTGGGATGTCCACTACTGGGACTGGAAGGGTTAGCTGCTGTTTTCAACTTGTGTTTTTTTTCCCCTCTGTGTAGAATAATGGATCCCAATCCTCTTGAAAATCATCTTTAACTGTTCCCAGATTGATGGGCGGGAACAGTAGCTTCTCTGTGGTCATTGCTGATGGTTTTCCGCCCTAGCATTGTGTTAAAACAGACCTGTATGCTCCAGAGCAGCAAACTGGCAAGCCCCTGCCTTCATAGAGGTGCTCCCACTGATGATGATCACATAATCAGTGCACTTACTCAGCAGCACATGGCTGATCATTTCTTTTTGACTGTAAATCTTATAGAAGCAGCAACGGAAGGCTTCGTTTATGCTTTATTTTTATAACGTGATGGAAACTGTTGTGTTTTTGACCTCTTGAAGTCAGATTTGAATCATTTTAGAACTAAAGTTAACTTTTACTTTGTCCTGACAAGTGAATAGAAATAAGAAAGTAATGTTGGATAACTTCTCTTTTAATGAATTACAACAAATGAGATCAAGATGATGAACTCATCCAGTATCTTTACCTGCGTTTTCCTTTTTTTGGGTCATGGGGGTCACTGGTGCTCATACCTAGCAGTCCAAAAAGTGGACAGGTCTCCAGTCCTTCACAGGGACACATAGAGACAAACGAGACAAACAACCATTCACTCTCCCACTCACACCTAGAGACAATTTAGAGTTTCCAATCAGCCTAACGTGCATGTTTTTGGTCTGTGGGAAGAAACTGGAGTACCTGGAGAAAACCCACACATGCATGGAGAGAACATGCAATGTCCATGTCCCCCGACTGGGATTTAAACCAGTAACAGCAGCTCTACCAACTGCACCACTGTGCTGCCCATAAGACGATGAACTAAAACACAAAATATCTTCTTCTATCTTCTATCTTCTATCTTCTCATTCTGTCTGCAATGAAAACAAGTTAAAATAAATGGAAGTATCTGCATTTTCCGTTGTGTCCCGACTTTTCTGGTCCTTGTTTTAGATCAGTGCATGCACGGAGGGAATTATTCTTACTTATTATTATTATCTTATTATCTTCCTGTTCTTGTCAAACGCTAAAAAAATGACTGTAAGTAAAGGACTCACACTGAATGAACCAAGCTCTCCAGATGGCGTTGTTCAGACGGATTTTATCCCTCCAGAGCAGACGCAGACCTTTGAACGACTTCCATTTAGGGGAAACTATTTTTCCACTGAAAAAGAAGGACAATAACATTCAAATACACTCGACATGGGGAAAATGGGGAAATGAGAGAGCAGAAGAACAATAAGGGAGATAAAACAAGTAGCTTCACTGCTTCCTGCTGGAAACCTGTCCTGATTTTGAAACATAGCACCCAATCAACTTATTCCCAGTACAGTACCAGGATGTTTGTGCTGCTTTCTAACATCCCATCATCTGCTGAGTGCTAAAAACGGAGCTCCTAATGTGAGGTGCTCCGGGTGTTGCTAGGAGGCCGAGTGAATCATTCTCAACGTGCTTTTAATGCAGGAAAACGGCCACATGTCGTTTTCCAGAGCAGAGACGGCGTATTCCTTAAAAACACGAGGAGACGCCAGTTTCCACCGGCCTGGTCCTTAACAGATGTTTTACAGGAGAGCTGCAAGCGGAGCAAAAATAAACAGCTGGATGCATTTTGTGTCTGCAATGCAAAAAGTTTTTATAAGCTAGTTTTATTTCTTTACAATAAGGGTCCCTTTTTAAATGATTTATTTCAGTTTTGTAATGAGGTGATTCACGAGTGTTTAAACACTTTATAAAGCATTTATAAAACTATTGTAAATTACTTTTAACACCTATAAGCTGGCTCTCTATTTTGTGAGAGGCGCGTTACTTTTAGTCATTCAGGAAAATGCCATATTTTCTACTCGGCTGACTTTTTAACTAAACTTTAGATACCAAAACAAAGTTTGGGTCTTCTATTAGTGATTGTATGCAAGTGACTCACTGAAACTCAAAATCTAAATTTTGAAGAATATGGATAAACAGTAAGGATGCAGAGGACAGATAAATGTTGAATAACTACCGTACTTTCTGGTCTATAAGCCGCAGTCTTTGAATCCTGCGGCTTATACAATGCTGCGGCTAATTTATGGATTTTAAAAATAAAATTTGACGGTCTAACGAGCTTCCTGCTGCCAAAAACATTTAGCTTCATCACACCTGGGCACTTCACATAGCTGCCCAATGCACATCTCACTTGAGGGGTGGGTCCTTGCGACTCAGTGAGACTACCTGTATAAATAAAGGTTAAACAAAATAATCTGACCAATGAAATTACCGAACAGGTCACGAGGAGGGGAGGCCGACGAAACAGGGAGGAGTGGAATCCCCCACTTTGGCTCCACGGATCACGAGCTTGCAGCAGGATGAATATGAATATATCGATCAATGACTTCCTGGTAGGTTTTATATATATATATATATTTTTTTTTTAATTAGTGTACGCGGCTTACCATACTTGCCGCCGTACACGTTGCACCGCCGTATAAGTCGCATCAGTTCAAATATGTCTAATAAAGTGGGAATAAAAACATAAATACGTCGCTTCGCCGTATAGGTCGCATCTTTTGTGCGTCACCGCTGACAAACCGGAAACGTGAGCCGGCGTTGTGCCAAAAAATTGATGGGCTGCCAAATGGCGGCCGTGGGAGCGTGAACGGGAGGACTTCAACAAGAATTTAACAAGATTAACACTTAAAAACAATTGTTTGTTTGCTCGACATTATAGTAAAGGTGCGTCTCTGTAGAACGACTTTTATAAATGCACTTTAATGGTCAAATTGGCTTCACTTCACATGCACGCTGCAGTGAAATGAAGCTGATTTGATGTTTGCTCCAAGAGTTCTGGAGCAAGACGAAGGTGGTTCTGTATGGCAAGCCAAGTGTCTCATTAATAGCCACTTTTACCTATTAATGAGACACTTGGCTTGCCATATAACTTGAAGGCTCTCTAGTGGCTGAAAATGGTAGTGTTCAATATTTTCCCTGTCAGAATGAATGAAATCATCAGGTCTCAGCCAAAAATTGTTATAAATATGGACCAAAAAAACAAAAATACGTTGCTTCGCTGTATAAGTCACATGCATGCTAATTTATGCAAAAAACTGTGACTTATACAGTGAAACATACAGTATATTTGGGTGCGCTCTATAGTCCGGAAATTACGGTATTTTGCAAGAAATGTGTGAGTATTGCCCCTTTTTACCACGAGTATTATAACTGCATAATAATGGTTTGTTGGGTGTTTAAAACCTACTTATTGACTGCCCCATTAACTATTAATTAGTCATGTAAAACTTATTATAAAGTGGAATCTATATTTTAACTAAAACAAAACTCAAAGTAGATAGTTTTGATCTTGTGAAGTGGGGCTCTGTGGAGAAGTTATGAACAGTTATTATCTTACATAGCTCTTCAAATGACCTCAGTCTGGATAAATTTAGTTTAACTTGTCCAGATTGACGGGCTAACACCTCGTCAAAGAAGACCATGACTCATGTAAAGACTTTCCTTAATCGACTCCGGTCTCCAACGTCTCGTAGCGGTTCACGTTACTGCCCTTTTTATAAACCTTTCCATGGCGGTCAGTTTTGCGATATGTGATGATTCCAGCAGAAACATCACGATTCTCCTGCTGAAAGTGCTACAAACAACGTCCGAGCCGGTTCATGCATAAATAACCAGAGGATTTTGTGTAAATAAATGTGTCATGAGAAACTGATATTAATATAAAAGTTTATAAAATGGTGCTCACATGAACCACTATGCTTTTTTTTTAAACTGGACGTGTGTTAAAGGGATAGTCTGGTCATTTCAGAACAGTCCTAGAGCTGAAATATAAAGAAAAGTACAGAAGTTGTCTAGATTAGGTTAACTGCTGTTCAAACAAGGCCCCATTTTATAACATTTTCAGGATTTTATTTTATTTTTTACACATTATACAGGTGCGGGAGAACAATATATTAGCTAAACCTCTACATAACTGCATCACGACGTTCGTTAAGTTTGTTGCCGTTTTCTAAATGAATGGAGTTTGTGTTACTGCACAAATTATTAAGTAAAAAAACAGCGTCACACCTAAAGGCCCAACATCACGTTCTAAACTTTAAAGGTTTAATATGAGCCAATGTCACATTATTTCACAACTGTATGATATTTTTGAACAAGAGTTTCATAAAAACAATAAGACATGAACCCTTGGTTGGTACTAGAGAAAGCCTCTCACCCTTGTCTCTGTTTTAGACAGGTGTCATGGCTGCTAAGATAAATATTTCATAGAACATCCCTTTAAAACTGCAGAATCCCATTTGGTCTTGGTCCCGATGAAGCTGTGAGCTCGTCAGTCCAGTCAGAATCAAACCCTGCTTCCTCAGAAACATGTATTGATCATTCAGACCACGGTGGTGTAGTCTACGTGATGCTCTGGTATACGAAGTATACCCACTATAAAAGCTGAAGGATTTCAGTATAACCTCTTAGTGATACATGACATACCGTTAGGTACGTGTCACTGATACGTTTAACGGCAGTTAAACACTTCCCTTACAATCTAGCGCTTTGCTTTGACGCTGTTTTATAAAATCTATAACCTGTTTTTAATACAAATACAACTGTTGTGCAAAGTTCATTGTTTATTTATTCAAATATGCATCAGAGAAATTTGGAAATGTCCAATATGTTTAAAAATCCAATAAATTAATGATTACATTGCACTAACCGGTGTACTTTGGTTTCTAAGCACAGTATACCCAGTACAAAAACGTAGACTACGCCACAGTATCTACAACAGGTAGGATGTTGATTGTTCATATTTGCACAAAACTTCCCTTTAAAAGCTCTAAGCATGACTTTAGAGAAGGAACAGGGATTTAAAAAGGCAGCTTTAATTAAAGAACGAGTTCACGAGTGTTCCCTCAGTGTAATCAGCTGGAACCAAAGTCCAGTTGATCATGAAGAAGTTGTGTAAGAGTGTGACAACAACAAACTCTTATCTGCTTTAAAGCTGCAGGAGGAAACATGTTCCTGCTGTTTCTGAAGGTTTCATTAATGTCGGAACACGCTGAGGTTCTGGTTCCGACCAGCTGAGCAGAACCCACCTGTAAGCCAGGGACATGCACTCAAACAGCCGGGTCAGAGTCGGGTCGATGCTCAGGCTCCCGGACTGGTACCGGTACGTCTGGCACCACGTCCTGTTCACCGTGTCGAAGTCGTACCGGGCCGAACCGCCGCGCTTCCTGCGGCGCGCCGTGGAGTCGCTGTGGGGCGACGACACCATGAAGTGTCCGCTGTGGATGACCTGGCTGCGGGGGACAGAACCGAGCCGGGGTCCGGCGCACTGCGGCCGAGCCGGACCTGCCTCCGGCTCCGAGTCCGACTCCGACGAGTCGTGCAGCTGGTTCCGTCCGGCCGAGCACCCGCTGCCTGCGGCCGCCATGGAGCGCATCTGGTGGAGCGTCTCCTCCGCTGACCCCCTCCCTCCCCCAGCGGTGCTTGCTGATGCTGCACGTGTCAACAACTCCCTGACAGCAATTATTAACCGGAACACCTCTCAGCTGACTGTCCCTGCAGCAGGTGAGCACATCTCAGATGTTGCAGGGAGCTCTTCCCCAACACCTTACAGCAACTTTTAACATATACGTCACGTGTCAAACTGGAGGCACGTGGGCCAAACGCGGGCCTTGATGACTTATCTGGCCCCCAAGGTGATTTTTTTAATTGCTTCTCATCTTAGTTAAAAACTGAGCAGACTTTATTTAGTTCAGACTACTCGACAACTTTGAAGCCCCAAAATAACGGTTTGAATTGCGGCTGCACGGTGGTGCAGTTGATGCAACTGTTGCCTCTTGGCGAGAAGGTCTCCGGTTCAAAACCTGGCCCGGGACCTTTCTGACCTTTCTTTGCATGTTCTCTCCGTGCATGCATGCATTTCTCCTGATGAAGCCTTCTGGATGGAAGGCAAAACGTCTCTGCACAAAAAAAAAAAGAAACCGTCCAGATGACCCGACTGACAGTTGTTAGATTTCATACCTGCATTATTGAGCATGGAGTTTGGTGGTTTTCTCCCACAGACCAAAAACATGTATGTTAGACTGACTGGTGACTCTAAATTGTCTCGAGGTGTGAGTGAGAGAGGTAATGGTTGTCTCTATGTGTCCCTGTGATGGACTGGAGACCTGTCCAGGGTGTCCCCCATCTCTCACATAGATGGACATGGGCACCAGTGACCCCCACGACCCAATGAAGAAGCGGGTAAAGATTATGGATGTGGAAAAAGAGATGGAGAAAGTCAAATGAGGCAGATGAAACTCTTGTTGAGGAACCTGCAACCAAGAGAAGATGTCATGTGTCTGACTGGAGCTAACATATTGACATGAACTGGATCTTGGCTTGAAAAGGTTTATTATTATTATTATTATTATTATTATTATTATTATTTTGTCTCCTTTTAAAACACTCCTTCATTCAGATGAAGTTTTGTTAATGCCTCTTTAAAGTCACTGTGGCAACCACGCACCCCCGTCACTCCTTGACTGCACTGTGAACAGTAACCGACTAAAAAATAAGCCTCAGACAAACAATGACAGTATGAAAACTTGAGCGGCAGAGTACCGGTGGTCGCGTGTCTAATGTTTATTTAGGCCAAAAGACAAGTTAAGAACAGTTTTAAAAAGAAAAGTTTGACCTAATTTTTATGTTTGAGGAAGCTTGGGTGTGCAAAAACTGTAAGACCTTGTATATGTGGGGTGAAAGAAGACGAAAAGTGTCTGTGTTTTAATGTATAACGTGTATGCGAGTTTGTTTGCAACGTCTAAGAAAGTTAGTAACATGAACTGTCTGTTGCTGCTGAAACTCCAAAAATCAAACACCTAAACAGTGATTCAATAAAAACCAGTAAAATATCAAAATGTCATGGAAAGGCCAACTTTCTGTGACACGTTGGAACTTTGATGTTTCTGTGAAGTTTAACCGAGGCAAAGATTTCTGAGTTTACTCACCTGTCGTCCTTGGAGAACGTCCTCATGGCTTTAAGGGAATTCCCTCCATGTCGTACTATCACCAGCGGCGATAACAAACTATTACTGATAGAGATGCATTTAGACGTTTAGTCTGCTTTGCTTTTAAAATAAAGTTTGCACCTCAAAGGCAAAGATTTAAGTTCTTTGATGTTAATGTAAGTTGTGACAAGAAGAAAAATCTGAGAAATGTACAGACTCAACGTAGCAGGCACTTCAGGAGTCAGAAACGCTGCTGTCGTCATCATCATCATCATCTTCAGTGCTTTATTCTATTTAAAGACAGCAGAAAGCTCTTCAGAAAGTGCCTCTAAAATGTTTCATACCTGAGCAGAAAACTATTCAACTTCTTTTTCTCTCAGTTTTTGCTGAAGTTTATGCGTTAAAAAGCATCATTTTGATGTAAAAAATAAAACCGTGATGAATCAGTTCAAATTATTTTTTTTTTTTGCCTCTAATGAGACAAATCTTCCAATCTAGCTCCAGATCCATTTATAAAGCCGTTTAAAACTCCTTAAAGAAACAAAGTGCTGTAAAGTGCGATACAAGTAAACGCTCTTCCAATAAAACTATAAAAGAATAAAAACAGGAATAAAACCATACCGCCGTAAAAATCAACAGCCTAACAGGTAACACAAGCCAAAGAATAAACGTGAGTTTTAAGTGAGGGTTTACAAGCAGCTTAGGAGAAAGTCTGTCACATGCAAAGGCAGTTTGTTGGTCCCACCACCCCAGAGCACGGCCCCCTTCGGGAGCAGCTGATCAGCAGACCTGAGAGAACGGGCAGGTATGTAAGGGTAGCAGCTCAGAAAGGTAAGGAGGGGCAAGACTGTTGGAAGATTTAAAAACAAAATCATTTTAAACTGGATTGACCAGCAATAGAAATATTTTACAACAGGTGTGATGTGGTTAAATTATCTTCTGCCAGTTAAAAGGTGTGCCGCAGCATTTTACAACATCTGTAAAGGGACAACTCTCTGACTCCAACACGCAGAGAGACTGTTCGGTTGTAACAAAGATGTGTGTAGGAGCCTAAAGGCCTTCTTGTTGAGTTTTTTACTAAACTGTCAAAAAGATAAATGATTAATATTATATATTAATATTTGTATTTTCTGTAATTATTTCTGAAAATTTGAAAGGTGACGGCTGCACGGTGGCGCAACTGGTAGAGCTGCTGCCTCTCAGCGAGCAGGTCCCTGGTTCAAACCCCGGTCCAGGGGCCTTTCTGGGTGGAGTTTGCATGTTCTCTCCGTGCATGCGTGGGTTTTCTCCGGGTGCTCCGGTTTCCTCCCACAGACCAAAAACATGCATGTTAGACTGATTGGTAACTCTAAATTGTCCCTAGGTGTGAATGAGAGAGTGAATGGTTGTTTGTCTCGTTTGTCTCTATGTGTCCCTGTGATGGACTTGCGACCCGTCCAGGGTGTACCCCGCCCCTCGCACAGTGATTGCTGGACATGGGCACCGGCAATGGATGGATGGATGAAAGGTGACGATCCATCCATCATTTCGCACTTGTTCTGAAAGAGTCAGGTCTTGGGGGGTGGGAGCTTGAACAGGGAGGCCCAGACATCTCTTTCCACAGCCACCTCTTCCAGTTCTTCTGGGAGGACTTCAAGGTGTTCCCCGAGGACCCAGTCCTCCCAAACAAACATGCTCGAAGCACCTCCCTAGGGAGGCGTCCAGGGAGCATCCTTACCAGATACCCGAACCACCTCAACTGGCTCCTCTCGATGTGGAGGAGCAGCGGTTCTACTCTGACTCTCTCCCGTTAACTGAACTTCTCACCCTGTCTCTAAAGGGGAGTCCAGCTGCCCTGCAGAGGAAACTCATTTCAACCTCCTGTATCCGTGATCTCATTGTTTCGGTCATCACCCAGAGCTCGTGGCCAATATTCCCTCTAAGATGTGCGCCTGTGCAATTGCACACTGCTCGCACATTCTCTGTGCACAAGGAAATCTACTCTGCACGGACTGGCCGCAAGGCCAGATGAACCATATGGGCAACTGCTCAAGCAAAATATCCAGTTATCTCCCGCTTTATAAACTGTCAGCCAGAGTGCAGCGACCTCTACAATCTGTCTGAATGCAGCGCATGAAATGCTGCAGACTGGAGGAAGGAACACCCCCCCGGTGATTTGTGTGGCGACAACGGAAGTTTACTAAGACATAAAAAAAATTCAACCAATGAAATCACAGGCGACCTTTCATTCCAGCCAATCAGAGTCTTCTGGAGTTTCGGCGCTGTCGTGTGAAGAAGCTAAGTAGCTACAAGCAACCTCCTTGGCTTCTAGCTTTCCAAGCTTTATACTACACATTTCAATGCATATCAAAGAATAATATTTGGCGTTGTGGATTTATCACAGAAGTTTAAAGTCGTACAACGTCAAACAAAGGTGGTAAGTAAGCTAATCCCACAACTTGTAGCCGTTTATGCTGTTAGCAAACAGTAGTGCTCGGTGGGTATCAGAATACGACTAAACTGATTTTGTACAACGTGTTTAATAGGTTGTGTAATGTAAAATTTACTCTTACATACTGAATTTCACTGAGTTCTTTCCCTGTGTCGCTCTGCAGCATGAAAACATTCCCTGCAGTAGCTATTTTAAGTATATTTTATTTTATTTTTCTGTCTTCTTTGCCTTAATGTTGGTTGATAAGAAATAAATGTCTCACTAAATGTCTCATGAGCTTCACTTCCTCCACCGTTACAGCCATGTTGTTTGTTTGTCCAAGTTTAGCTCACCCTGGGTTACATTTCCTCGTGTGCGAAGCGATCATCCCATTCCTTATCTTTACCCGCTTCTTCCTTTTCGGGTCGCAGGTGTCACCAGTGCCCACGTCCAGTCATACCCCGGACAGGTTTCCAGTCCATCACAGGGACACACACTGTAGAGACAAACGAGACAAACAACCAAGGGACAATCTGTGGGAGGAAACTGGAGCCCCCGGAGAAAACCCACGCATGCACGGAGAGAACATGCAAACTCCACCCAGAAAGGGCCCCGAACCGGGATTTGAACCAGGGACCTGCTTGCTGAGAGGCAGCAGCTCTACCAGTTGCGCCACCGTGCTGCCCAAGATTATACCATTCACGTAAAATATTTGATAATGTTCTTACAGAAACAATTCCTGAATGTTGTTCATACTGTGTTAATGCTACATGTTTGTCTCTTGACCCTACAACTGGGTAAGGTGACAGTAGACCTAGCCCACTACTGGAGTTTTAATTAGGTATTTTAAGCTACCATGGATGATGGTCATATTGCTTTATGCTAGGCCATTGGTAAGAAGGAGTGATTATTATAATTTCATATTGGCTAATGATTTTTTTCCCATAAAACTCAACTTGGGCTTCACTGTGTTTCTTGGACTGTGACTAGGATGCATGAGAGAAACAGAGCGTGCTCTATTCACACAAGGAGAGCTGTTGGTCAGGCTACTTCTCATTGTGCCATTAACTCTAAAATAGTTATTGAATCAAGTGTTACTTGTGTTGGTAAAAT